AGGGTTGTTATGAGGGCTAGATGAATAACGTTTTCAACAGCTAGTGTGCAACAAAACTTGGTGTCTTTGTCTCCTTCCAGCTCTGAGATCTCATGCATGCGCCCTCTAGTTGGAGTGCTGAAGGGTACAGACTGAGCATAGCTGTACCATGGGATGATGGGGGGTGGTGAGACAGCCACAGGGCCATGAAAAGGAGGCCACGTTCAATTAATAATGCAACTGGATGCAGACAGAAAACTCAGAAGAATATTCAGAACGCGGGATGGCATGAGCTAGACCGCCAAAGATTGCTTACGAGACTGAAATTCACAAGATCCCTAGGAAGGAGTTTTTTTCTGAGATTAACTCAATGATGGGGCCCTCCTTAGCTCAAAAAATAGCTTTTCTAGAACATAAAAAAATGGCTTGCAACAGCTTTTGATTCACAAACGTTTACTGCATTTATGATGTGGCAGGAATGAATCACAGGATTTCAAACGTGAGGCACCTGGAGAAGACTTAACCATGATTTGGGGGTCGCTGACTTGTAGCTGGGTAGATGTTGGTGCTGTTCATGATCAGCAATGGTTTTGTTTTCAACAAACTGTTCTCCTGTAGTGATCTTGCAGATGGCTGTGTCTTTTCTGCTGACATGGAGTGACTCTCCAATATGTCCCATTCCTCCACCACACTAAGGATTCCTGCCCACCCCATGCTTTCCCAGGTTCGTGTTAGAATGGTGTATGGTTAATGATGTATGGTTAAGCCATTCAGGAAGGACCCCTAACGCATGAGCCCTTATATAGGGTCGGGGGGGCGGGGCTCATGATGCGCCCCTGTAGATTCTGGCCCTCCCTCTCTGGTAGCTCCTTGGAAGTGATCTGAATGACACTGGGAAATGCCGCATCCATAATGAATAGAATTTAATAATTGAGTAGTAGCCATTTAACTCTGTCAGAAAGTTAAATTCTGCTTTCCTTTCCAAGATCTGCGGCCCATCTCTGTTCTCTCTGTTCAGATGAGATGATGAAAAAGGTCAAAGGGCTCTGAAAGCCCGGAAAGCATCAGATGTCAGACATGGATGCAAATATCCACACAGTAACAGTAAGGTTATTCTCCAGAAATGGAGCACACCCCCAGTTAAGATGCTCAAGGCCATGGCAGCTTGTTAATGGGATTGGCAGCAAAACCCTCTAAGGGAGTTCCTGACAAGAGCCCCACTTGCTTATGTATTTTCTTACTTTTCCTTTATGAGATTGTGAGGAATCTTCAACCAGGTTCTAAAGATTTCATTAGTGGCGTTATTGTCTTACAACATCTGGCCGTGCTACTGTCAGAGGAAATCAACAATGTCTTCAGAGATGTGACAGAGCAGTGTTGACACTTGGGCAGTTCCAATGAGAAAGTGACTGGCTCTGGATTGAATTATTTTCCTATAATATATTAAAGTTTCCTTCCATATTACAGTTTAGGGTGGCATTTCTCACTTCCTATCTGCAAATATCCCATCACAGCCTTTGATAAAAATCAGACAGAAGTCTTGGTGCCATTACAACTGCACACTTTATATGAACTCAGTTTAGGAAACTTTATCCTAATTAGGTTGAACTTTCTTTGTCATCATCATCAAATTAGGAAACATGTACCCAGGCCATAGTCTTTGGCTCTTTGAAATGTCTGTAGTTGGCACTAAGGTAGAAGATGAACAAATATATGTTGAATGAATGAATAAGTGAAGGAATGAATGATTGGGTTGTCAAGTGGAAAGAGAATAGATTTTAGAATCAGCCAGATTAGGGTGTGAATCCTAGTTCTGTTACTTGTTACTTGTGTTTTCTTCAGGCCTCTGTGGGCTTTCCACACTGGGAAGGGAGGCAGCCCAGAGAAAGTGGCTGTATTCGTTTTCTATTGCTGCTGCAACAAATTACCACCAAGTCCATGGCTAAAAGCAAATAAACAAAACCAATTTATTCTATTAGAGTTTACTGTAATAGGATAAGTAAGAATGTAATCTGTATTACATTATATACAGATGTATTATATTACAGTTCTGGAGATCAGAAGTCCAAAATGGTTTTTTGTTTTTTTGTTTTCTGGCCACGCTGCGTGGCTTGTGGAATCTTAGTTCCCTGACCAGGGATAGAACCCGGGCCCCCTGCAGTGGAATCGCAGAGTCCTAACCACGGGACCGCCAGGGAATTCCCCAAAATGGGTTTCACTCGGCTACAATCAAGGTTTTAGCAGGGCTGCGTTCCTTCTGGAAGCTCCAGGGGAGAATCCCTTTCCTTATCTCTTGCAGCATGTAGAGACTGCCCACATGTCTTGGCTTACGGTCTCTTCTTCCATCATCAAAGCCAGCAGGGTAACATCTCTGAATCTCTTTCTGACTCTCCTCCCTCCCTCTTCCATCTTTTAGGACCCTTATGGGTACGTCGGACCCACCTGGATAATCCAGGATAGTCTCTCCATCTCAAGGTCCTTTCCTTAATCACATCTGCACAATTCCTTTTGCCATGTAAGGGATTAGGACATAGATATCTGGGGTGTGTGTGGGGGGGGAAGGGAATCATCCTGCCTACCACAGCAACCACGCCAGACCTACCCAACAGTGATGGGAAGCAGCTCCACACCTCTCCAGGGTATCACAGATAATGCATAAGAAGTACTCCCCAGGGAGCTCCCCCCATCATGAGAGCTGTGGCTGGCTGTCTTCTTGGGAGGAGTCTAGTTCTGCCCTGGGGTGACTCTCTGGTCTTTCCACCGTGGGGTGGTGAAATGGTCTGGGCTCCCTTTAGAACTTGTTGGGTTTTGTAAGACAGTGTCAATTCCACCTCAGCTTGCTTAAGCATTCACGTATGTGGTTATGCACTTGGCCAAAAAACTTTCCTCTCAGGGAAACCTTGAACTCTGTGCGCAAAACCACTTAGCAAATCTTGGTTGGAAAAATGTTATTTAAGGAGACCCACCCACCTGAAAGCTGGGCAGTCCAACCACACCCTTCAACTGTCCATGGATTAAGCCAGACCACATCCTTCTTGGCCTAGGGTATTTGCTTTTGCTAAATGTTGCATTACTTCGGTGCTATTGGACTACATTACAAGCACACCATAAGGAAAAGCATCACAGACATTGCATTTATTATAACCGTTTTGTTGATGGATGTTCATTGCTTGTCAGCATAGATTTCTTATGAGAAACCACAGAGAAAGATTCCCCCAGTCTTAAAACCCAGTACTAGTTATGGTTTTCCTAATAACTGGTTTATTTCCATCAAATGAACATTAGTGCACGTGACTGGTCATTTTTCTCTTTGCACAACTCACTATTAGGAAGCAAGAGCCTTCAACAAAGCTTTAGCACATCAAAGCCCGCATTACATGCGGCAGCTTAGTTACCTACCCTCACTGTCCCTTCTCCCCAGTTCCTTCATCTGTTTCACGTTTTATTTCTTGCTGTTGTACCGTCTGTGAGCTTAGAACAAGGCATGATAAGAACTTTTGTTATTTTCCAAGACTTTTTTTCTCTTCTGTGAGACCCATGTCCCTGATACATTTCTCTTGGTTCCAAGAACAAACTCAAACAAACAAACAAAATCAAAACATGAAACGAAACATCATCAATGCCAATGTTTCAACATGGACTCTCAGCAGAACTGAGTCCAGCCCCATCGTAAAGCCTGGCGCTTATGTTGATAATATGAAAACAGGTCTCTCATGCTTTGTATGCTGAGCACACCGAGCTCATAAATGCCAGCATTCTAAATGGCTTGCTTGCTGTTAACAGATTCAGTGGCACCAAAATCCATTTATTTTCTGAGGGATATTTTAACTCTTATTGTATCTTTACTCATGGTCAAAAGACATTGGCAAATTTGCTAAAGTGATTGACGGGACTCCTCTTAAAGCATTCCTAAAGTGTCACGTCTCTGCCTTCACATTTTTGTATGTGAGCTTGTCTTCTTGGAAAGGAAAACCGGAAATGTGCTTAACACTATGTAGGGTTTTGGTAGTTGTAGAAAGCCAAGATTAAAAAAAAAAAAAATCAATGTTAGTAGAACCTCCAGTGAAAACATCAAGATACACCTAACCTAAGAGTTCATCTCTGAGTTCATCAAAACACAGAATCCCCAACACCAAGAACCTCTCACACAGATTCTGGATGGTGTATCTGGACCTTCTCTTTTTAATCTCTATTCCCATAAAGTCCAAGACATAGTATGTATTTGATACATAATTGTTGAATTAATGAGTAATGTCTCCTACTCTCAAAGAGTTCTCCTCCAACCCCAGTAGACCACGATGGGAACACAGTGCTTGCCACGGGACAGCTGTGCAATACATATGGAGTGACTGGTACCGAGACCCATCCAAACCATGGAAGAAACCTATGCCATCCCTTAGCTCCAGAGCAGCGATTTTAATTTCCATTATTTCCCCCCTTGTCAAAAACACACCTTACAGATGACATTCACGTAGGCAGCCACTCTCATGGGTAGAGTTAGGTTAAAGTGTAATTCCTGTTGTGCTAGGACAATCTCTGTCACCTCTCTCCCACTCAAGAAAATATATCAGAACACAAATGAATAAGGGCGCCATTACTACGGGAAGCGCCACGAATTCGTGGCAACTTATTGGAAAAGTAAATCATCCTCCGTTTTGGTGTTGCAGCTAATGTTAGTAGTACACGACTTACGAAGCGGCTCGCGATGATTGACGTAACAGCTCACTGAGATACCAAGAACGAGAGTGCTTCTCTACAGAATCCATCTCTGAGACACACTGAGTCCTAACACGCCATCTTGGAGACCTTTCCAGACTCCAGGGAAACCATCCCTGAGGCTCATCCTACCCCACACGCAATCCTCTGTACAAATTCCACCATCCATGTGAGCTTCACCAGAACCCTAGCGCTCATCCCTATGAATGGACACAGCTCACACAGAAATCTCGTCATCAGCTGGGTGTCACTGCACTTCCTCCATCCTGACCCTGGGGAGGAGGCCCCACAAGCAGCCCACTCACCACGCCCCCGCCGGCAGAGTGCACGAGCACAGACATCCCTTCTCGCAGGTTGGCAACTTCAAAGAGCATCATGTAGGCCGTGACAAAGTTCACAGGGAACGCAGCGGCCTCGGAGAAGCTCATGTCATCTGGGACCTTGTAGACGAATTCCACTGGTGTGCAGACCACCTCTGCCCAGGCATTGTAATTGACAAATGCCATGACACGGTCCCCGATCTGGGAATAGGGAAGCACAGAATTAGTGGAGGTTTCTTAATCTTTTCTGAGAGATTTCTCAAATATTCTTAAGAATCTGACGAAAACTAAAGAGTCCTTCCCAGTAAAAAAAGAAACCCCAAACCCTCAAATATGCACACCTTCACCTCACCTGCCTTTCAAGGCATTTGTGGACGCTTTTTTTTTTTTAACGAGAAACAATTTTTAGAATTTATTTATTTATTTATTGGCTGTGTCAAGTCTTAGTTGCGGCAGGCAGGATCTTTCATTGCAGCACGCGAGCTCTTCATTGTGGCACGTGGGCTTCTCTCTAGTTGTGGCACACAGCCTTCTCTCTAGTTGTGGCGAGTGGGCTCCAGAGTGCACAGGCTCAGTAGTTGCCGCACGTGGGCTTAGTTGCCCCGTGGCACGTGGAATCTTAGTTCCCCGACCAGGGATCGAACCGGTGTCCCCTGCCTGGGAAGGTGGATTCTTAACCACTGGACCACCAGGGAAGTCCCTGTGGATGCTCTTGAAGTCCATCTGTGCAAGCTTCCCAGGGGCCATGGAAGCCAGGGACTCTACCCCTCTTCTGGAGCATAAATATGTCGATACAACGTGCATCACATCACATGCCGTGGAATGTTAGTGTTGGAAGGTCATATTACTGATTTAACCTCTCATCTAATCTCCCTGTTTGGGAACTGGGAAGGTCAAAGGGGCTAGGAGTCAAATCTACTCTCAGCTATTCTCTCCCACCCCATATAGATTCCTTGCCAGGTTAGTTCACTGTGGTATTTGCATCAATGGATTACCGATTACATCGGATGTGAAACGTGGTCCATCAGAGGAGCCATGTAAATCTAAGTGCAAGAGATTGAAAAAGAGCAGCCAGGCTTCGAGTGAAATAGGAAAATGCCATCGGGTGTGAGGAATAACAACTAACGTTTATTGCACACGTATTATATGGCAGACATTGTCCTAAGGCTGTCACATGCTTTACCTCATGATTAGATGAGGCAGGGCTGAATACTGTGGGGTTTTTTATCAGTGGTTTACATAGCCAGACACCATTCAAAAAAAAGAAAAAAAGCAGTCTTCCCTTTAAAGTGGTAATAATCATATGCTAAGTTTTTTTCATAGCATATCATTATTAAAGGTAAATACAAAGTAAACTATCACTGATGGCTTACACGAGCTGCCAAGTGCTAGTTCAACTGAACCATTCTGCTATTTGATGTTAGTTGCTTATACTGTAACTTTTAAATGCAACATTCAGATTGCTGTGGTCATAGTGATTTCTCAGTAAATTAACGGCTTTCATATGTGTGTGTTTTAGTGTATATATATTTTTATGATTGACTCGACTGTTTTATTTTCTTTCTAGTTTAGGATTTCTCTTTCACCCCTGCTCAAAAACAACAACAAAAACCTCCTATGAGATGGGTTTTGTTACAGCGCCATATTACAGACGAATGATCATAGGTTTTACAGACATTTAAACTGAGGCAAAGAGAGATTAAAGCACATGCCCAAAGTCATGTAGCCAAAGAGTAGCTGTACTGGGATGTGAATCTAGGTAGGCTGACTCCAGATACAAATAGTTAATTCATTACACCTAAGTGCTACAAAGAAGAAATAAATTTATATAAGGATGTACAACAGGGGAACCTACCAAGTCTGGGAATATTAGTCTAACTCTTTAAGTCTCAGTTTTCTCAGCTTTTAAATGGGTATAATATTAGGAACAGGTCCTTATGGAGATTAAATGACATAATATGCATGCAATCCACTTGGCACTGTGCATGTAAAACGAGGAGAGAACAATTAATGCTAACTCTTAAAAAGAACAGATTGGTTCCTGATCTCATGGATTTCACAGTTGAATGATCAAAATCTAAATATCGACCCACTGAGTTTCACGAAGCAGAGGAACAGCTGTCTAAGCGTTAAAAACCAAATGATGATGTCAGGAATATCATCTCAGATGCCCTGGCTTGGACCAGAGGATCTCTAGGGTCTAACACTGGCATCCTACTTTGCACAGAATCATGCAAACCCAAAGATCCATAACACCACAGAGTAGCTGATGGCCTCCAGTGTCAACAGAGTCTATGAAAAGAGTGTTTCCACCACCTTGACAGCGATGGTTGTGCTGTCACAGACCACCTTGACGGTGATGGTCATAGCCAGCCCAGACCACCTTGGCAGTGATGGTCGTAGCCATCCCAGCAGGGTTGACTGCTCCAGACTTCTTGTTTCACTATCAAAATGGCAAAAAGAGGACCAGCCATCAGATCAGCAGCCCCAGTCTCAGAGTCCAGCGGTGGGGAACCTTTTTTTTTTTTTTTAAACATCTGATTCACCTCATTACTTGATTCTGTTTAAAAAAACGAAATTAGTCCTGGGCGACTGAGCCCAAATGATTCCTTTAGTGCTGAGCCTCTGGCAACAACTTTTCAAGGCTCCCTTGCAATCCATCAAGCCAAGAGCTACTCAGTGTGTTGCCGTGTGGAATCCCATCTCCAACATGATTGAAAATTTTAAGTCAGAATTACAGAGGGCCTGTTAGTATTGGTTTTCTCCCAAATCACACCCTGACTGGACAGCTGTAGGTGGCTGCTTTTGTTTGTTTGTGCAGCTGAACGTACTGGAGGAGGGTGGAGGGGGTGATGGATCGGTTTGACAATAGCAAGTCAGGGCTAACTAGCAGAAGAAAGATCACATATAAGGGAAACAATACAAGTAATCAAGCACAGTGATTCCTCCCTCTACACTAAGGCCAACAACATCCTTATCTGCTGTTACAGTCTAAAATGATGGGTTATTTATCCAGTGCTCACGATGAATAGCGCAAACGGTATGAGCTGTTCCTTTGGGACCACGTGGAGGGGCGAAGAGCAGACCATAGCGCTCACGTGCAGCACTTTCAGGGAGAGATGGTGCTGCCACGTGAGGTTAGATTGCTTACCTGGGGACAGAAAATGTAAAGTCATAGGAAAGAAAAGAAAAAGCGCATCTACTGCTCTCTCAACGTTTTTCTGCCACGTTATCTGGAAACCACCGGCAAAAAGACGGATGAGCGGGATGAGATTTCCAGACGTTCATCGTAATGAATCGGGAGCATATTGATATTTTCACAGTATGTTGAGGCTCCGAGGCACCGAGAGCTGAGCAGCCTCAGAATCAATTCCAAGGGCGCATTCTGACTTTGCCTTTTATAGCGCTTCTCTCCCTGTGTTAACTGTCGCGGTGGTTGCAGGTGGAGAACAGAGGGAAAGAGCGTGGGACTGCAGGAAGAGTAAAGAGGCTCTGGTGATTTGAATCCAGCTGCAGCTACTACTTATTATCTTTCTGACCACATGGAAATTACTGAACCCTTCTGAACTTCATCTCTAAGGGGATAACAATATTTACCTTGCAGGCTGAAAAACAGTAACTTCCCCATGTTTCTAGTTATGGTAGATTCTCAAATGTGAGGTCCCTTCATCTCTCCGTGGGAAGCATTTAAAGTCGAGCGAGAGCTCTTATGCCTGATTTCCACTGTTTTTTCTTGCTCCAAACTACCGCAATTTTGTGCAATTGATTTGCCCATAGTTTTTCAGTTTTTATAGACAAGATCCTACTTGATTTGCATGATAATGGTAGGAAGGGTCATACATCTTTTCAGCGATAAAAAAAAATTTTATTATGCGGAATTTTGAACATGTACAAAAGTAGTCAGAATAATATAATAACCCTTTTTATCCCTTGCCCTACTCCCCAAGCCACCAACCCATAGCCGATCCTGTCTCATTGTCAGTTACCTCTCCCCTCGGCTTTAAAATCCTCATCCAGAAATGCCACTTTCCCAGTGTCTGAAATAACGATTTATAAATGATCGCTTAGATGCATCAGCTAAGTAGATATTTAAAGGAACCCAATTATAAAATACAGAGGCTACTTCTCCCCAACTTTTGCGTTTTGTAGTTGACTTTTGAGCCTGAAGTGATGGGGAAATGAGAGCCACGGATAGAGAGAGGAGGGATGTACACTTAGTTAATACAAGGCCAAATTCATAGCTGTATTAATTTTAATCTTATTAATAACTGTATAAAATGAATAAAGGGGATGCTAAGGTTTCCCCTGGCCCCTTCACCAGACCGTTGCCAGGAACAACAAGACGGTACATGGGAAAGGTATGAGACGTTTGGAAAGTCCTATCATTTACAACCACTGTTAATAAACCCAAATAATGAGACAATAACAATAAGACACGTTATAGATTATTTCAAACATATCTTGCATACTCTTTTATTATCTTAATGGATTCCAGATAGATATCATCCTTTCAGTCAGAAGTCAAAACATTACCTCGAATCCTTTAACGCTGTCTCCCAGAGCTTCAACAATCCCAGAACATTCAAATCCTGGCACCAGGGGGGTCTTGGGAGGGTTGTCGATATTCCCTTGTCGCACCATCAAGTCAATGAAGTTTAAACCACTGTGAACAGCAAACATGAAAAAAGAAATTCACAATGAGATCCGAAGGAAAGCACTGGCTTGAGTTTTCTTTCCTTCCCATTCCCTCCCTTCGCCCGCTCCCCAATTCCTCTCTCCTTTCTTTTTAAATTTTCTGATGAAACATGCCTAATAGTAATGTTACTTAGCTAGATGTCACCAATAAAGTAAAGCAGTGATCTTTCTAGACAACTAATGCTTTCCCAGCCCTTCAAATGGCAGTTGCAGAGTTCACGCTCTAATTCAAAAGAGAGTCCCTTTGCTCCCACTCAGAGCCTCCTTACTCTTATTTTAAAAGTATGTGTTAACCAGCCTGGTCATTAGCTGTTCTAGCAGTTAATCAAGGGTAAAAAATATACTAGGAAGAGGTTATAAGGAGACACATGGAAAGCAGCCAGACACAATGGCCATCCGCCATTCTATGAAAAACAAAGAGAAAAAAGACCTAACGTAAAAGGTCTCAAAACAACCGTCACACCTCAACCATCCCATCGACTTACACGAGCGCCGAGCCATAAACAGTACCCATAATGGTGACTATGAGCCATTAAGAGACCACATTGGGTCCAGCTGCAGGAGGGTGACTCGAAGAATATAGGTCAAAGTGATGGACCAATGGGGATGGGAAGACTGGAGGGTTCATTTCAAAAACTTTAGTTACCTCTGGCTGAGAGAAGTCATTAGGTATTTTCTACAAACATATTACTTTTGAAATAAGAAAGTTATCATTAAAATATATCAAAGTCATTGCCTTGGAAAACCACATACTTGATTCTCATGATGCTACCAATGCTCTGAACTGTTGGATTTTTTTCAAGAGCTGCAATTGGGAATTGCGTCTAACACCCGTGAACTAATCAAGTAGGAACACATATCTCACTCAACATGTATTTTTTCCCACCAGCTGTGGTTCTAATGTACTGCCTGTTTCCATAAGCTGCCATCTAAGAAAGACACGGGTTATAGAAACCAAACTCCTCGGTCTGGCCCAAGGCCCGTTAGCGTCCGGCCACAGCTTCCTTTTCAAGTAAGACGCGAACTCTTTCTTAAACACAGGTGGCCCATTTCTTCCTTGGCCTCTTTGGAGCCAAGGAAGCATCTAACTCTACGTACATCCCCTGGTCTCTACTCATCAGTCTCACCCATAAGGAATGGATAAGGGCAAGGAGGATGACTTCCTTGAAAGATGGGTTCAAGAATCATCCCTTCCTTTAGGTTTTTCTGGACACAAATGAGGCAAGATGCACATATTGCCCCATTGAAGTATCTCTAACATGTGCCTTTTCTGAAGGCAGCTGCATGCCTCATATTTCTTTGCTTCCAGAACACCTGGCATACATTATGCCCACAGCAACAGAGTAGGGACTCAAGCAACATCCACTGAATGAAGGAATATTCATGAATATCCAAAAAAATGTGCTGCCAGTTTGAGTACTAACTCCTTTTTTAAAAAATGTATTTATTTTATTTATTTTTGGCTGCGTTGGGTCTTCCTTGCTGCGTGCAGGCTTTCTCTAGTTGCGGCGAGCAGGGGCTATTCTTCATTGTCTTGCGCGGGCTTCTCATTGCGGTGGCTTCTCTTGTTGGCGGAGCACAGGCTGTAGGCGTGCGGGCTTCAGTAGTTGTGGCTCGCGGGCTTAGTTGCTCCGTGGCACGTCGGATCTTCCCGGACCAGGGCTCGAACCGGTTTCCCCTGCATTAGCAGGTGGATTCTTAACCACTGCGCCACCAGGGAAGTCCCTTAACTCCTTTTAAAAAGCGGCCAAGGGATGCTCAGCGTCATGGACACATTCCTGAAATGTATGTGTAGACTTCCAAAGGTCCTGCTTTGATGGTTAATAGTTCTTAGGGTCATTTATTAACCAAAATGTTCTCCAATAATGTGGCCAGTTTTTTAAGAGCTCGGGGAGATCTGGCCACAAATCTCAATTCCATGACTTCTCCTTGTGTAACCTTGGCTCAGTTACTCAACTTCTCTAAGCCTCAATTTCCTTGTCTGTGAAATGGGGGCTATGGTAGCACCCATGCCACAGGGTTGTTAATAAGAGTTAAGCATTAAGAATGGTGCCAAGTACATAGTAAGTACTCAATAATAATATCTGCATCTTCTGTTAAGAAGAAGGCTGACGTGTGAGATACATTTTAGGAAGATTCCCATTACACAAGAGTTACAAATAGTTTCAGAGCTGAAGTGGGAAAACTTCAGGTATCTATAAGCTTCACTTCTGTGAAATAGTCCATTTTCCGACACAATCAAATAAATAAAGCATCGCTGTATAACAATAAAAGGAATTTCTACGTCCCAAGTCAAACACCCCATCTCATTTCACGCATGTTTCAGCTCACTGTGTTATATCCTCTGTGTGAAAACTTAGGATTTCCCAAGACCCTGATGGAAGAATGCCAGAAGAAATGACTGGACAGTGCCGTAAACGCTCCAGCCCCTGGAGAAGGCTGCATCCTAGATGCTTTCTACGCTGCTCCATACGGCGGCCTTCAATCTCCATCCAGCGTGAAGTGGGCCCAGTGATTGTAAACGGGAGCCAGCTACTTGATTCCAGCGAGAAGGGCTAAGACAGACCTTATAAAATCCTGCAGCATCCCATTTTGTCAGTGAGGCATGCAGTGATTCTGTCAGGATCGTGGAGAATGCCAGCCAACTTGAGGACAGAAACATGAAGGAGGTGTATCCCAGGGGACAGAGGACGGGTCATTGTTGTTCATCTCAACACACAGAGGAGGTGAACAGTTGTTAATGAAGTACCCTTATGTGTTGCATCAGACCTGTTTCATGGTGCCTGCCCACACATCTCCTCCTGATATGGACCTATCCAGCATTTACTGAGGGTTCAATTCGTGGCAGAAACCGTGCTAAACACTTCCTTTTTGTTATTTAAGACTCAATGACACTCCTACGAGGTGTGAACTATCATATCCATTTTTTAGATGAGGAAACTTAGACTCAACAAGATTAAGTTACTTGTGTAAGGTCGCATCTTTAGAAACTGTCCAAGTCAGGATCCGAATCGAAGCCAAGCCTAGAAACTGAGCCCTCACAGATGACGCCCTACTCCGTCTCCAAGGAAACTTCAGCCATGCCCTTGACGAAGGGGCACATCCAAGGGACCAGGTTTATGACTTCTTGTCTCTTTGCCCACTGATTGACCCAGTGGTGGACCCAATGTTGGAGGAGTGGCCATTCACAATCTAAGCAGGAGCCCATTCAGTATAAAGTAAATGAGCTGGCCTGAGAACTGGACGTTCTCTCAAAAACTATGAATTGGGAAACATGCATCAGGAGAAAAACTTAGTACCAGAAAGGATGTCAAAAAAATAGAACTGAGCTGGGTCACAGAGCCAACCTAACAGGCTATACCAGGGTGAGTTATACACACCTCACTGCTGAGTTATCAAGGACGGAAGGGTTCAGTCTCTACATGTGGTGACACCCAGCCCCACATGCCTCCTGCCCTCAAATATCCAAGAGTTCCCTTGATGCTTCACGCATGTCTTCATAATAGGTTATATGTATGGTCTCTGTCTCATGAAACCAAAATACAAACTAAAACAAATACCATAATCAATAACCCTAAATCACCCACTGGACAGCCATTACTGACCTCATTTTTTTTCTTTTTTCAAACAAAACCAGCAACATTGTTTCGAGATAATAAGTTCTTTGCCCAAGGCCACACAGACAATGAATGGTGAACCCATGAACTTGAACTTGGGTCTATCAAACACGTTTTTTCTCCGAACACAACAGGAAAACACAGGGGCACATCAAGCCATACATCATCATAATTATAGTGTCCAGTATTCGCTAAGATAATTTGATTTTTCACCTGGAAATTTTGAGGGGGTAGCAATGACTATGCCTGATGACTCAGGCCCATATCAGGGGTAATTGTCAAATGTCTCTCTTACCTAATTTTTACATGGCTCTTAAACATTTGAGAGCATTGCAAAAAGAAATACTGCTGCGAAGAGCTTGATGTAATGGTCTTCTAAGTGATCCTATGTCTCTCAAATATTGGTATAATTATAAAAATAAGGCTGTTTTGTTTCCCTCCCACACTAAATTATTAGTCAAATAATAGGCTTAAAGGGTTATTACTGAGCCTTAGCATCCTGAAGGAATGAAGGCCGAGGTATGAGAAAGGGACCCTGAAAAACTCAAAACACAGAATGAGGGAGGTACAGGGAAATTTGGAAGCAGTCTCTTTAAAAAATAACTCTTTCATTTGCATAGCATAGTGCAGTTTATAATGTGCTTTTATACACATCTCATTAAACCTTGTAACAATCCTAGAAAGGCAAGAAGTGCAGATATTATTATTCCCATTAGATAGATGTGAATGTTGAGCCTCAAATAAGAAAGCTGGCTATGCCAAAGACAACACAATCAGTCCATGGCAGAGCTGAGACTTGAATCAAGATCTTCAAGCTCCTTGCTTATCTTATACCCCGTGACACCATGAAATCTGCAACGCAAGTAAATTCAGTGTGACTAAAATCAGTAATGTCAAGAATCAGGGGCAAGAAGACTAAGAGAAAAATGGTGGAAGGAAACAGATGCAGGGTGCGTGGGTTCCACTTCCTGCACTGCCATCAGTGCGCTGCGGGACCTTGGCTCCGTCTGTGAAGCCCACTCCCCCCCGGCCCCACCCCAGCTCTCACACTCTGTTTGCTTGGTGGTTCTTTATCCTGTGGGCTCTGCTTCAAATATTATCAAAATCAAAGCTGAGGTAGAGAGGAAGAGATGCTTGGTGGTCTTGGTAAAAGACACTGACTTGGGATGCTCAGATTCTATCTAGAAGCTGAAGGAAGGCAAGCTAGCCTTGGCGTCTGTACTTTGTTTTCTATTATCTATGAAGTGATGGATGTCAACCCTGTAAAGTCTCATGGGAGATGTCTAGCTATTTTCATTTTATGTTCTACTAGACTCAACAAATGTTGCTTACTTGATGATGATGCTACAGG